TCCCAGTGGGACGTGTCCAGAACACCTCACCAGGGAGGCGTCCAGGAGGCATCCTAACCAGATGAACCACCTCACCTGGCTCCTTGGGGTCCCTAGACAATAATTTAATTGCCACAAATATGGGTCACCTTTGTGATTTCCTGAGTGCTGTGTAATAGACAAGGCTTTAAGACAAAAATACTTTCCAACTACAAAATATTATTTTCTAGGAAAAACAAATGTGAATGTTGAGTGTTGAATTGATTTCCTGAAATTTGTTTATTGAGCTGAAACAGAATTGTTAAAGTTAAAACAGAAATAAACTACAATAAGCAAAACCTCGAAACAAAAGCTAAGACTGTAAAAACAGCAACTAAACACTAAAACCAGCCCAACAGTAGAGCTTTAAAAAGTATAGATTTCAAAGAGCACAAAGTTTTGTGAAGATTTGAAAAGATCTCAGTGTATTTCTATAAGGAAAAAAACAACACAGGGAAATAATACAAAAAACATAAAAGTGTTATGCTAGTGTTATGAATGAGCTGGACATTTTGATACATGAATGGTTATAATAGCTGAAAATATTCTGAAATAGAGTAAAAAAATTAATAGAAAAATCTAAAATCAAGAAAAAACTGTGAATGATGAGTCAGTTTTCAGACAAACTTGAACTTGTCCAGCTGAAGAACAAAACTGAAATAAAAGCTCTGAGGAAACACCTGGAGGTTTCTGATTTCACTCTTTAATACTTACAGAACAACACAGATGTCACAAACACAGGAAGCAAACAGGTAAATACATACAGGAGATAATATTTAGCACCAGCATAGAGTTCTGATCCACTCCATTTTCTTTAAAACCCTTTATTTGTGGGATTTTTTTTTTAAATAAAAGACCTTTGTTTGATCTTACCTGGCATGGCTAACATTTAAGCCTTCAGTTACAAAGGTTTATTATTATAAAAGGGTGCATACTGTACACTAAAAGTGGTTTAAAAAAGCAACATTATATATAATCACTAAGGTTTTCTCAGTGGTGACCATGTTGGCAACTTGAGGATCAACACTGATTATCGTTTATTATCAAATGAAACAGAAATAATTGTCACGTAACAATCTTCCATACTGAAGCATAAATATATCACACCAACAGCCTTCTTATATTTTCTGTTTGTACAGGAGACCAACAGTCTGTTTTCAAGTTTTATATTAAAATTATACAGAAAGTCAAATTCATATCCAGCCACATGAAAAAATGTATTAAAATTATTTTTTAAACCAACATTGTGTTGAATGCACCATTACTGAATACAGCTGTAGGTGTTTGTTTGTAGCTTCCAAAAACACAAAGGAACAAGATTTGATGGTAACATTTTACTAACATATTTTCAAACTGCTTCTTGCCAGATGATAAATTTTGGTCAAACTCTTCCAGGACTGACAGTGTTTTGCAAATAAGCTACATTGTTTGGTGTTCGATGCATAAAGCGGTGATTAATTTGAAAGTCTTAAAGGTTTAGTTTAAGATTTGGGCAAAAAGCAGATCAAGGAAAAGAAAAAAAAAGAAAAAAATTCTGATTATCCTGATATCATTGACAAGAAAATCAGTCTGTGAGCTGCAGGGAGAGGAGGAAGCAGGGGCGTCACTAGGTTTTAAGGACAAGGGGGGTTTAGCCCCCAGGAGACACACAGAATTTTTGTGTATTATATACTTGTATTGTCTGTATGTAAATATTAAATGTTTATTTATTCTGACCACATCATATTGAATTTTTGCAAAAAAAAATTTTTTTACACCAAAATAATTTAAGGGGGGCTTTAAAATATTTTAGGGGGGCTCCAGCCCCACTAAAATAGGTCTAGTGACGCCACTGGGAGGAAGGTAAGAATTTGAGAAGTATTTTAAATTCAGCTCACAGTGCATCTCTGCTGAATCTTTGATTCTTTGGTTCAAATAAATCAAACTAAAATATCAATACTGGATACAGTTTTATTATAGTCACTTTTCATGTCAGAATCTTTAATTCTCATGATGAGTTCTGGTGTTTTTGGTCAGTCTTTGAAATAATGATGTGTTAATGCTCAGTGTGTCTGTTGGGGATGACTCGCCACTACCACACACACAGGCTGAAACAATTAAAAACAAAAAAGGTGGACAGATCACATGAACGGGTGAACAAACTAGAAACCAGATTTTGTTGGAGACTAATATCACATCGTTCAGTTTTTATTAGTAGCTTTTTTAAGAGAGGCTGTGAGTAGTTAGTATCCTACCTGCAGTAGACAGAAATTCTTTTTTTGTGCACAAATGGAGCTCCTGGTTAATCAACAGACTCCAGATCAGATTTAAAACCTCTGATTGTAATACTGGTTGAAGTAAATGCTACATTCTGAACATTATTTTATTTATTTAGGGTCATTTAACCAGGTCAATCCCATAGAGATCATTGATCTCTTTTGCAAAGGCAGGGCTTGAAGGTAACTTATTGTACATATTTTTGTGTTGTGGGGTAAACCAGAATACCCAGAGAAAACCCACACAAGCATGAGGAGAACATGCAAACTCCACACAGAAAGACCCCAGATCCAAACCGGGGATCAAACCCAGGATCTTCTTACTGTAGCTGCGTTTCCAGTGACCATGAAAATGAGCAAATTAGAATTTCGAAAATAAATTTGCTCTATGGAAACACGTCAATTTAGGAAAAAATTACGTTTTCCGACAACATGTTTTTGCGCTAGGATGAGGTGGTTTTTCGGCCGTATCGAAATTGGTGTTTTTTGCGAAACTGCAACGGAAACACTTTTTTCACATCACAGGAGTCACGTGATCAACAACCGGCTGTTTCTACTGGCGAAAAAGACGACGACAAAGACGATAACAGGAAGTAGAAATAGTAGTAATATCACAGAAGTAGTCTAAAATAGTAAACTCACCGACTACAATTTTCCAAAAACACAGCATACGTAGCCGCTCCCAAGTAGGGACTTGTCTCTGGAAAACCTCGATAAAAGACGCCGACGTCTCCTCTGATGATGAGCGCTAGTGTCGTGGTAGCAACATGCTATGTGTTTACATCCATCGC